TTCTCCTGCCTCAGCCTCCTGAGTAGCTGGGACTACAGGCACGCGCCACCATGCCCAGCTAATTTTTTTGTAGTTTTAGTAGAGACGGGGTTTTACCATGTTGACCAGGATGGTCTCGATCTCTTGACCTCGTGATCCACCCGCCTCGGCCTCCCAAAGTGCTGGGATTACAGGCTTGAGCCACCGCGCCCGGCCACTGCATATCTTTTTTAAAATTACTATTATTATTATGACTTGAGACGGAGTCTTGCTCTATCACCCAGGCTGGAGTGCAGTGGTGCAATCAAGACTCACTGCAGCCTCAACCTCCCAGGTTCAAACAATCCTCCCACCTCAGTCTCCCAAGTAGCTCTGACTATAGGCACACACCACCACACCTGGCTAATTTTTAAATTTTGGTAAATACAAGGTTTCACTATGTTGCCTAGGTTGGTCTTGAACTCTTAGCCTCAAGTGGTCCTCCTGCCTCAGCCTCCCAGAGTGCTGGGATTACAGGTGTAAGCCAATGCTCCCAGCCAGATGCTGCATTTCTAACAAGCTTTGCTCCACAGACCACACTTGGATTACCACTGACCTGTAAGCTTGCAGCCCCTTACCCACTGAGTTAGTGTGAAGCTTGCTAAACTGTTTCAACAAAAGCCAGGTGCAGTGGCTCAAGACTGTAATCCCAGCACTTTGGGTGGCTGAGGTGGGTGGATCACATGCGGCCAGGAGTTCAAGATCACCCTGGCCAACTGGTGAAACTCTGTCTCTACTAAAAATACAAAAATTAGCCAGGCATGGTGGTGTGCACCTGTAATCCTAGCTACGTGGGAGGTTGAGGCGGGAATTGCTTGAACCCAGGGGACGGAGGTTGCAGTGAGCTGAGACTGCATCACTGCACTCCAGCCTGGGAGACAGAGTGAGACCTTGTCTCCAAAAAATAAATAGCTGGGCACAGTGGCTCAGGCCTGTAATCCCAGCACTTTGGGAGGCTGAGGCAGGCATATCCTGAGGTCAGGAGATGGAGAGCAGCCTGGCCAACATGCTGAAACCCCGTCTCTACTAAAAGTACAAAAATTAGCTAGGCATGGTGGCGCTCACCTGTAGTCCCAGCTACTCGGGAGGCTGAGGCGGGAGAATTGTTTGAACCCAGGAGGTGGAGGTTGCAGTGAGCTGAGATCGCACCATTGCACTCCAGCCTGGGTGATGGAGCAAGAGACTCCATCTCAAAAAATAAAAATAATAAATAAATAATAAACCATTGTGACAAGGAGTGCAACACAACACAACAGCCCAGGGCAGAGGGGTGGGCTGTGCTCCCCAAGGTCACCTAGGTGCCACGCCAACAGGGCACCTTCTGCATCCTCTCAGTGCCTTCCAGGGTGCCCCAGATGCCACCACTTCCAGCCCACAGTGAGTATTTTCCTTTGAAGCAAGTGATGGGCGACTCATCCCAGTTGCTGATATTTCTCCAGTGAGAACCTAACCAGGGTTAGACTCTGCCTGGCTGCAAAGGAGGCTGGGAAATGTAGTCCTGTGCAGTGGCCACACACCCAGCTGCACACTCTGATGACGGGGGATGGGGAAAAGGCTTTGGAGTGGCCTTCAGCCATCTGCAGCATGTGACCCAATGAAAGAGAGCTCTGACGAGCACGTGACAGAGCACGTCCTGGCAGGTCTAGCCCAGGGTGGTGCAGCAGGGTGTGAACATAGGTAACTCATGGGAGGCTGCCATGTGCCCCAGTGGAACGGGGTAGCTAAGTAACTGGACACTGGGGCTGGAAGCTCAGAGGCATCCAAGCAAATCATATGACTTACCCGCAGTGTGACCTAGGACAAGTTACATAATGTCTCTGAGCTGAGGCTGCCTCTCTGGCAACTGTGATCATAACACTGTGTCTGTTTCTACAGGGAGGCCCCAGTAAATGGCAGGAATTCAGGTCACCATGAGGTGGACTCAGATTGATCTCAGACCAGATAGGGACATTAGTGGGAACAAATGGCCGGTGATGCTCAATTTTGTTGTCAGTTAAAAGAGCCCTCTCAACCAGGTTTTTGTTTTTTTGTTTTTGTTTTCGAGACAGAGTCTCACTGTGTCGCCCAGGCTGGAGTGCAGTGGCCCAGTCTAGGCTCACCGCATCTTCCATCTCCAGGTTCCAGCGATTCTCCTGCCTCAGCCTCCCAAGTAGCTGGGACTACTGGCACCCACCACCACACCTGGCTAATTTTTACATTTTTAGTAGAGATAGGGTTGATCCCACCTGCCCCTGGGTTTCACTATGTTGGCAAGGCTGGTCTTGAACTCCTGACCTTGTGATCCACCCACCTCAGCCTCCCAAAGAGCTGGGATTATAGGCGTGAGCCACCACACCCAGCCTCAGCCAGGTTTTAATTCCCACCGAGCAACTGAGATGGGTAAAGAAAACAACGGTGCTCACACCTGTAACCCCAGCTCTTTGGGAGGCCAGGGTGGGAGGATTCTGAGCTCAGGAGTTCAAAACAGGCTGGGCAAGATAGTGAGACCTCCTCTCTACAAAAAAATAAAAAATTAGCCAGGCGTGGTGGTGCACACCTATAGTCCCAGCTACTTGGAAGACTAGGGTGGGACGATCGCTTGAGCCCAGGAATTCAGTGAGCTATGGTAGCACCACTGCACTCCAGCCTAGGCAACAGAGTGAGACTCTGTCTCTAAAAAGAGAAAAAAATAAATAAAGAAAAAGAAAACAAATGCCATTGGCTGGGAGTGGGCAAAGCAGACCCCCAGCTTCCAGCACCCTCCACTGCCGGTGACTTTGAGACGGGTCAGAGCAGGCACATGGGGGCTGGGAGGTTCAGCAGAAAGGTATGTGGCAAGACCAAGGAAGCAGGTGTGGTGGCTGGCGTGGGAGAGACAGGTCAAGAGTGCAGTCGCATCATTTAACCAGCATTTATTTCACACGTCTGTTCAAGCACTGGGCTCCGGCTAGAAACCATCCAAAACGCAGTCCCTGACCTCATGGAGCTCACAGTCCAGTGGGGAAGCCGAGAAGCAAATCAATGACTCTGAAGAAGTACAGGCAAGTGCTGTGATCATGGCACGTGTGGGGTGGGGTGTCTAGAACCCCAAAGTCAGCCTCAGGTCAGGAAGCGAGTCAAGGAATGGTCAGGAGGCCCAGCTCAGCCTGGGTCTCGTAGGAGAGCAGGGCCAGCCCCGGGGATGATGGAGTCACCCTGCCAGCCACTGTGCACTGCTGGCCAGGCCCAGACAATGAGAGCACAGCTCGTTCAGGGTCCAGGAAGCAACCCCAGCCTCGTGGGGAGGGAGGAACCGGGAAGGAGGAAGGGGCTTGGGCTTTTCCTGAAGGTGATGGGAGCCACTGAAGGATTCTTGGGGGAGACATAGGGTTATTCTGGGTTGTGGGAGAGAGAGCTTTGAAAGGCAGGGTGGTAGGAGGCAGCAGGGCCTCTCAGAAGCGGAGTCTCAGAGCTCCTTAAGGGGTGAAGGCACAGGACAGGGCTGGGATGTCGCCAGCACCACTGCCAGCTCACTTGTGCATTGTGCTCCCTGCTTCACAGATAGAAATGAGTCAAGGCCAGCTACACAGAGCGCTGCCCAGGCCCCCTGGCTTCCAGCTCCTGCGGGCATCTGCCCAGCCCAGATCTGGGCAGGTGGGAGGTGCCTTGATCAGGAAGGGCTGAGCCTCTTGCACTGAACTGCAAGCTGTAGGCTTTCAACCTGACCTCCAACCTCAAACTGGCCTCCGGGACATGGGCCTGATGGGGAGCTGCAGGCATTGCCGCAGAACTCATCCCCACCACCGGAGGAGATACTCGTAGCTGAGAAAGGTGACAGCATTGACAGGAAAAGCACGGGCACTGTTGATGGTGAGCCCCCGGAAGAAGACGCCCAGTCCTTCCTGCCGGACACTGCTCACCATGCAGTCCAGCACCCCCCGGTACACTTTGCGTCTCAGGCCATCCATCTGCATCCGGGACTTGATCACATCTAAGGGCGTGGCTGTCACCCAGGAGGCGATGCCTGCAAAGCCCCCTGCCACCAGCACCGTGGCTGAGCCTGGAGCAGAGGGAGCCCAGAGCAGGGGTCAGAACCAGAACATAGCATCCTCCCCAGACCCTAACCTCCTTCCCCAGCCTCCGCCGGACCCCACCTGCTACCCACACCCCATTCCCGATCCTCTCATGCCACTTTACTTACTGGGATTCTGGCCTTCTGGTGTGTACTGGTGGCAGAGCCCTTCATAGGTGATGAAGTAGATCCCCAACGTGGGGGTGTCCCTCAGTGTCAGGGCCCAGGCTCCTCGGAACAGCCCCCGGGGCCCCTCCTCCTGGAAGATGGAGGCTGCACAGTGCATCGGCCCGTGGTACCGGGGTTGGGGGCTCCCTGGCTGGGCCCTTGGCTCTGTCTGGTTTTGTAGCCGGACTTTGATGAGGTCAAAAGGAGCCAGGAAGTAGGCCTGTTGGGGAGGAGACATGAAGGCCCTGGGTGGGGCTTTGGGGTGGGAACTGGCCCCATATATTCACAAGAGGAAGGAGGCAGGCAGAGGCGGCATGGTCCAGTCCCACAGGAACCCTGGCAGCGCCCAGCCTCTCACATGCATGTGCGACTGGGATGGCCAGGACGTCTGCATGTGACAGGGACAAGCCACCTCACTTGGCATCAGGCCCAACCCCTCCTCATGCAGCAGTGACCAACTTGCCTGGCCTGCAGCAGGCACTCAGAACAGCCTGGATTCTTTTTGCAGAAGCGGGTTGGTTTCTGGCCTCCCTGAAGCCAGAAATGTGCATGCCTGTACCGTGAGCCAGGCTGAGTGAACGATTCAGTCTGCGACTGTGAGACAGCAAAGAACCTACCCCTTCCCAGGGTGAAGGAGGTCCCCTCATGAGTGTTGTTCTGATGACAGGACCCAGCTCCACCGATTCTCCCTCCTGCACTCACCTCTCAGAGCCCGGGGGGCATGGGGCCAGCCCTTCTTGCCCCTAGAGAGGTAAGACTCCCTCCCATTTGGTCCCACCAAAGAGGCTTCTGCGTGTGGGGGACTTGCCGGGGACTAGCGCTCTTAGCATCAGCGGCAGCAGACACCACACAGGTTTGATATGGAACTGGGGCTGGGGTCCAGGTGAGCATCAGTGCTAGGGGGACATAGAGTGAGATGGGGGCGGTTAAGGTTTGGGTCAGAGATGCCACCAGGTCAAGATGGCTTTTAAGTCCAGGTGAGAATTGGGGTCCATGCCAAGGCTAGCCTGTCTCTGAGGGACTTATGTGTTTTTTGCCTGTTTGTTTTGTGACAGGTACATGGGCTCAGTTCTTCAGCCCTCGAGATGGATGGCTGCGACCGGGGCCGTCAGTCACCTCCAGTGGTGGTCCTTAGGGTGTGGCAGGCCAAGTCTTCACTTATTTACTTTGGCCTTGGCAGGAAGGGTCATAGGCTGGGGATCATCCCTTGGGAGATGGGTCCTTGGTGTCATCCTCCTGGGCCTGCTGGCAGGGCTGAGCTCAGGGCTTCGGAAAGTGTTCTGAGCCCTGAGCTCCTGGGGGCTGAGGACAGGGCTGGTGACAGACGCTCCCACAGGGATGGTGGAGTGTCAGATGCCACTTCAGCATTTCAGGAGGTCAGCTTCAGCCAAGGCCTGGGTAACGTCTGTGCCTGTCAGAGACTGTCAATCCCTGCCTCTTCCTCCCACTCCAAACTAAAGCACATTTTTTTTTTTTTTTGAGGCAGAGTTTCGTTCTTGTTGCCCAGGCTGGACTGCAATGGCACCATCTTGGTTCACCACAACCTCCACCTCTCAGGTTCAAGCGATTCTCCTGCCTCAGCCTCTCAAGTAGCTGGGATTACAGGCATGCGCTGCCACACCCGGCTGATTTTGTATTTTTAGCAGAGATGTGGTTTCTCCATGTTGGTCAGGGTGGTCTCGAACTCCCGACCTCAGGTGGTCTGCCTGCCTCAGAATCTCAAAGTGCTGGGATTACAGGCATGAGCCACTTCGCCCAGTCTAAAACTCATTTTTGCTCTAAGACTCTGTGAAACTGAAGCCACAGGTTTGACTGTAAACCCAGGCTCCATCGGTGGCCCTCACAGTCCCCAGTTCTGCTTTCCAAAGAGCTGGAGGGGGGCAGGGTGACTTAGAAGCCGGGCCTGGCCACTTAGCCGAGGGTCTCAGTTCTCTTCCTTGCATTTGTGGGGTCTGGCTCTCGGGGCTCAGGAAACCTGTAGGTGACACCTAGAACAAGAAGGGGCAGAAGAAAAGCCGGGGCCTCCAGGAGTCTCATTAATCATTAATTCATTTGAGGGAGCAGCCTGACTTTGTCCTTGCTTTCTGCCCCATGAAGTGTGACAGGGGCCCTGGCACAGGCGCCCAGGAGAGGGTGACCCTAGCTTGAGGCTGGGGTGTGAGCGGGCGTTGGATGCAACCTCTGCCAGTTTATGCTCAGAGGCTCCATTCAGCACCGGTTCCTGCTGGCACCATCAGGTCCCTCTTCCCTCCACCTGCCCTTCGAAAGCTGGATGCCCAAATGACGGCAATAACTTAATGGTTAATGCCCCGCTAGGCGGGGCCTCAAGTGAGACTCCCAGGTCGCGGCCACCCAGGCACTGCAGGCAAAGGGTAGAGCTGGGCGGAGCCGGGGGAGCGTCGGGACCTCATCAGGACCCATCTAGAAGAGCTGGGCTCACAGCTCTGTGGGGGGCTGGCAGTTCTCCAGGGTCAAAGGTCTCCTTCGGGAGTGGGCTTCCCGCAGCTCTGAGGCTGGCAGACCCCTCTGGAGGGTAGTAAGCCCTGTCAGCTGGAATGACGGCATAGGCTGCTTCTCCGGGCACCCTCTTGGCACTGCTCCCCAGCTCTCTCTGCCTTTTGCCCCCTCCATTCCCCACAGCCCTCCTGCCAAGGCCTGCAGCCTGGAAAGCTACAGCCCAGTCCTCATGTTCCCCTCCAGGAGGCCTGTGCCTCCATAGCTGTGGGTCGCCAGAGCAGGGTGGGTGACCATCCCCGTGACTCCTGTGTGCCCACACGCTGCCCTCTCACCTGCAGGAACCCCCCGGTGCAGCCCGCTAGGAAGATGTGCATATAGCTGGGAGGCTGGGCCCGCCGCTCCTGGTGGGAGGTGGCCGTGAGCAGGAGCAGGGCGTTGCTATAGACCCCAAACAGGACAGAGTTGACCACGGCTATGCTGGCAATGGGGAAGCTCATTCCCTTGAAGAAGCCCAGGAGCTGCAGAGAGACACATTGGCACTGGAGTAGGCACCGTGGGGCCTCCCCTTTGTCCTCTCCAGCCCTGGCATGGCCGCTTTTGGCTGGAAACTGCTCCCAAGTCCTGCCACAGGGAGGCGGGGACAGGTGGGGACAGTCTGAGGCTGAGGCTGCACTGTTGAGGTGCCAAGCTACCACCTAGGCCCCCCAAGGGTCCCAGACTTGGTCTTCTCTCCTCCTGGGGCAGAACCCTGCTGGAGAGGAGAGGGCAGCTGGTACCAACGGCTCCAGATGCCTCCCCCAAAGGGGAAGGACCCCAAAGGGGCGGGCCACTCACAGACTCGTGGCGGTAAATCCTGACCATGCAGTCGGCGATGCCCCGGTACGTGGTCTGGGTCTGCAGCCGCACCTGGACGGGAGGACAGGGCAGGTGGGGTGGCGCGATGGCAGGCGGGCCAGCTTTTCCCTCTGCCCTCTCAAGCGGGATGCCAGCCGGCAGGAGAGCCAGGAAGGGCAAGATTAACCAGGCCTCAGGGCACCCTGACATTTGGGTTAAGTGAACTCTTTCATTCCTCTGGTGCTTCTCCTAAACTCACCTTTACCGTGTCAAAGGGGTGTCCCAGGACCAAGCCCACAGCGCCTGTGATGAGAAGAAAGTGCTGTGAGTGAGGGCTGTCGTTCCAGGCTCAGGAAGCAAGTCTGTGCCAAGAGGAAAGCGGGGCTCAGGCAGGAGGAAGGAGAACAGGGCCATCTCAGACGCATGCAGCCACCTTCCTGCCCAGCTCCAGAAACTCCAGCTGCCCCCGACACCCCCTCCACACCAGGCACTGGGCCAGGAAGGCACTGGGACAAGGGAGTGAGACTCCAGGCCCCACCTGAGGATGCATACCCAGAAGGGAAGACCAGCCAAAGACACACGTGTCCTCGCTGGAGCCCGTACCCGGGTATCCCACTGCATATGGACCCGGGGACTCTGGGCGAATCGCCCAGGGTCCTGCCTCCCTGAGAGCTGTACCCCTTTCTTTCTTCAACTCATAATGTTGTCGCCGGGATCCAGAGGAGGCCCTGCTGCCCCCCAGCTGCAAAGAGCTGCAGGGCCGTGATGGGAGTCATGGCTGGGCACCTGCCAGGGAGCTTCCCCCGTCCCTCCACCTGCCCACTCCCACTCCTGCCCTCCACAGTAGAGGCTGGTTCCCCAGCAGACAGGTTCAGAACACCCCTCTTTTTCTTCTAAGAGGAATGCCACCCAGAAGCTGGGCTGGGACCACGCACAACAGGCCTCGGGGCCCGGGACTGCGGCCCACAGCCAGGTGGGGCAGAGGCCCAGAGGGAACCCAGGACAGCAGGTGAGGTCAAAGGTGAACTTCCTTTGTGAGCCCCACAGGGTGGGCCTGGAGAGAAGGGCGAGAGGCATGGGGTGCTCACCTGGCTCTCCAGCCCTCTGCAGGTGTCAGGCAGTGCAGCCGAGGCAGGCAGAGGCAGGCACCCTCCCACCTGCGCCTTCCTCTCTTCTCCCCATCGGCCACTCCCTGGAGGACTGGGGGACAGCTGGCTCTGGGGTGCTCCAGGGAACCCAGACTTTTTTTTTTGAGACAGGGTCTTGCTCTGTCACCCAGGCTGGAGTGCAGTGGCGTGATCATGGCTTATTGCAGCTTCAACCTCGAGGGCCCAGTGATCCTCCTATCTCAGCCTCTGGAGTAGCTGGGACCACAGGCATGTGCCACCGAGCCTGGCTAATTTTTTTCTTATTTCTTATAGAGACAGGGTCTCTGTATGTTGCCTAGGCTGATCTCAAACTCCTGGCCCCAAGTGATCCTCCTGCCTCAGCCTCCCAAAGTGCTGGGATTACAGGTGTGAATCACCATGGCCTGCCCCCTTTGTGTGTGTGTGTGTGTGTGTGTGTGTGTGTGTGTGTGTGTGTGTGTGTGTGTGTGTGTGTGTGTGTGTGTCAGGGTCTCACCCAGGCTGGAGTGCAGTGGTATGGTCATAGCTCACTGCAGCCTTGAACTCCTGAGTAGCTGAAACTACAGGTGTGTGTCACCACACCCAGCTAATTTATTTATTTTTTGTACAGACGGAGCCTCCCTATGTTGCCCAGACTGGTCTCAAACTCCTGGGCTCAAGTGATCCTCCCTCCAGGCTGGAACTCAGAATTTGGTTTCAGCTTCTCCTATGTCACCCCTCTTCCCCAGGGAGTGACCTACCATTGGGTGCAATGTGACAGAAGGAAGAAAAATGTCTCACCAGAGATCCAGCCAGCCACAAACTCCTCCACCGGCATTGTCTGGGCTTGCAGGGACTGGCAGCTCCAGAAGAGGAGACAGAGTTGAATTCCCCCCTCTCCCTCCCTGGCCCACGCTGATAACCTCCCACTAATGTTTAACCCTGGCGGGAGGGTGAAAAGTGGCCTGGTGCCCAGACCTTGAGCAACTGGCAGAGGGGAGCGAGCCAGCTCTGGTGATCCTGGCCACCTGGAGGAGTCATGCAGAGTAGTCTCACGGGCCAGGTGTGCTGGGACCACAGGGGCCCTGATCCCCCAGCCCAGCCAATGATCCTGGCTCTGGGGATGGCAACTGGGTCCCTGCCCCATGGTCAGGCCCCTCCAGGGCTGCCTTAGCAAGAAGCAAAACCCCTGCCTCCCCAGCCAGCCCAGCCCCACTCCCATCCATCTCCTCCGAGGTGCATGGCCGCCCCCACCCCACAGAGATAGGCCGGTGCAGAGGGAGGGAGCGTGGCCACGGGGTGGGGGGGGGAGTAGGCCCAGCCCGAAGGCAGGGTGGGGAGGAGCCACTTCCAGGAGTGAGTGACTCACCAGGCCCAGCTGTTCTCTCCAGGGTTGTTTACGACTTCCCTGTGTGAGTCAGAAACACAGCTTTCCTCGGCCTGTTCCTTCTCAGGGGAAAGATGGGGGTTTTGCTTATTTAAAGTGCATGTTGCTCTGCAATGGCCCGTTCTGCTCAGAGTCAAAACCAAAATCCTTTTGAGGCTCTGTGAGCCACGGGTGCCGCACCTTCTCCTCTGACCTCATGTCCTGCCACCCACCCTCTTCTCTCTCTGCTACAGCCGCCCGAACCTCCGGACTCTTCTTCAATCAGCCTTCTGCCTCCAGGCCTGTGGACTGTCTCCTCCCTCTTCCTGGACACTCTTGCCCTCACACCCCTTCAGCTGGTGTTCAGATGTCACAACCTTGGTGAGGTCTGCTTGGTCTCTCCGGCCAGAGGCATCGCTGGCTCTTCCTCTCTTTATCCATCATACTTATCACCCCAGTACATGATGGGAGGAACTTGTCTGTCTGGGAAGGGATCTCTGGGTGTTTTGTTCACAGTGGGTGGCACAGGGTGGGCTCTCAGTAAATCATGAGTGATTGAATGAATGGAAATGTCAATAGGCAGCATCAGCAGCAGCCCTGGGGCTCCAGTTCCCTCTTCCCATCGCCAAAGGGCCCCAGAGAACAGAAAGGCCCAGTGACACCTGCACGCTCCCCTCCAGATCTCCCTGCAGCTCCTAGTCTCCTGTGGGAGATGGCCCAGGCCCAGTCCTGCTCACCGTTCTCCTCTCACTGAGGCCAAGGCAGGATCCAGCCACCCCTGCTGCTTCGTCTTGGGCGGACAGGTTCTGGAGACAGGACCGCGTGTCCCACCTCCTGCCTCTAGAGCTGCCTGGGGCTCCTTGGGCCATGCCCCAAAGATCATCCTAAAAGACCATCCCCAATGACTGGCCTTTCATGGTGGCTTGGGCTGCAGTCCTGGTTCTGCTTCCTGTTCCTGAAACCGCCTTTGCAAAAACTATAACTGATACAGCCAGGCGAGGTGGCTCACGCCTGTAATCCCAGCACTTTGGGAGGCTGAGGCGGGCAGATTGCCTGAGGTCAGGAGTTCGAGATGAGCCTGACCAACATAGTGAAACCCCGTCTCTACCAAAAATTTAAAAATTAACCAGGCGTGGTGGTGGGTGCCTGTAGTCCCAGCTACTTGGGAGGCTGAGGCAGAAGAATCTCTTGAACCCAGGAGGCGGAGGTGGCAGTGAGTCAAGATCGCACCACTGCACTCCAGCCTGGGCAACAGAGTGAGAATCTCTCAGGAAAAAACAAATAAACGAACAAACAAAAAACTATAACTGATACAATTATTACAGTGAAAGAGATCTGACCTAACTGACTCCATGTTGCTTCTAACCGCCAAGCTGTGCTTGTTTGCTCCCGGCCATAGGCTGAACTAACTTTGGGAGGAACTCAGTTTATGGTTTGCTTGGAAACAAAGATGATAACAGCCCTTTCCCAAAACCAATTCTGTTCCTGCCTGGGGACTAGACTGCCTTTGTAGGACTAACATTAGCCACAAGATTAGAAATTACGGTTTAGGAGTCATGCACCAGAGACCGCAAGATTCTGAACCTCCCCCAATTGCTCCTAGGGATAACATCACTATTGTAAAACCTAAGATCAGTTCTTGAGATATTTTGCAGACCCTGCACTGGATGGATCAGCTGGCACCACTCAGATCCATAAACTGGCTCATCTGGTCTTGTGGCCCCCACCCAAGACCTGAGTCAGCACAGGAGGACAGCTTCAACTCCCTGTGATTTCACCCAAGACCCAAGCAATCAGCGCTCCCAACTCACTGGCCCCCTACCCACCAAATTATCCTTAACAACCCCGATCCTGGAATTCTCAGGGAGACCGATTTGAGTGATAATAAAACTTCTGTCTCTCCTGCAGCCAGCTCTGCATGAATTAAACTCTTCTTATTACAATTCCCTTGTCTAGAGAAATTGGCTCTGTCTAGGCAGAGGGTAAGGTGAACCCAGTGGGCAGTTATATTATCCCCCTGAGTGATGTCTAGAAACCCCTTCTGTGGGCCTTGGGGTCTACTATTGTTTGCCAAAGTAGGACAGCAGTCAGGCTAATTGCTGTCTAGGCCTCTTGGCTCTAAAGGCTGGAGGCCTCCTCCTCCCTCACTTCAGAATGGGCCTCATTCTCTTTTCTAATCTCACAGTTTCACCCCAGTTCAAGAAAGACCCTCATTTCCACTTCCCTAGGGCCTTCCTGTAGGGAAGCCCACCCACACATAGCATCATCTTGTCAATCTCAAGATCACAACCTCCAATATGTTTTTTGTTTTTTGTTTTTAATGAATGAGAGGTTCTTATGTTGCCCAAGTTGGCCTCGAACGCATAGCCTCGCCTCCTCAAGTGCCAGTACAACTGGCCTGAGCCACTGCTGTTCCCTTCCAATATGTTCTTACTGCCTGACACACCTGCCCCATATCTGTCATCCTGGTGTTCAAGGCCTCCCCTAGGGTGCCACCCACCTGCTGTGCTCTGATACAGCAGGGGTCTTTCCTGGGGTCCTAACCATGCTTATGCAGCTCCCACTACCTGGAATGCCTTTCCTTCCCCGCCATCCTCCCGGACTCTCTCCCTGTGCCCCTCCTCAGCTAGCCCCACGTTCTAGCCTCCTTACCAACACCACACAGACTGCCAGGCATCAGTCTTATTATTTAATATTTCCAGTCCTGTTTTCTCGTTCATAAAACAGAGATGATACTCCCTTCTTAGTGAGTTATAAGGATTCAAGCACTTTAAAAAGTGGCTGGCACATAAATGGCAACTGCTAATACTTACTTCCATTCTGAAGACGCATGAGAATGACACGGGAAAGGGCATGGCCCAGTGCCCCACACACAGCAGGGGAGCAGGGACTGAGGACCCTCTTTTTCCTGCATGTAGCATTTCATAGTTCTTTAAAAAAAAAAAAAAAAAAAAAAAAAAAGACAGGGTTTCACCATGTTGGTCAGGCTGGTCTTGAACTCCCAACTTCAAGTGATCCGCCCGCCTTGGCTTCCAAAGTGCTTGGATTACAGGCGTGAGCCACCACGCCCAGCTGGGGCATTTCATAGTTCTTAAAGCAATGCTGTCATCTTCTGTGGTTTTATTTTTCATTATTTTGGAGACTGGGTCTCGCTGTCACCCAGGCTGGAGTACAGTGGCAGGATGGCACTATCAGAGCTCACCATAATCTCGAACTCCTGGGCTCCAGCCATCCTCCCACCTCAGCCTCCTGAATGGCTGGGACCACAGATGTGTGCCACCACACCTGGCTAATTTTTGGGTTTTTAACAGATGTGATCTCAGTATATTGCCCAGAGTGGTCTTGAACACCTGGCCTCAGGCGATCCTCCAGCCTCAGCCTCCCAAAGTGCTGTAGTTTTAAATGTGCTGTTCTCCTGGGCTTCTTTCTCTCTCCCCTCTTCCTCCACTCCCCAGTTAAACCATAACAGACACTTCCTGAGGGCAGGGCTATGTCTCACCTCAGTCTGCATCCCCTGACCTAGCACAGGCCCCACATCCAGTAAGCATTCAAAACAACACTGCACTCCTCTGTTCCCACTTCGCTTCAGCTGGGAAGGAAGAGAGGCCATGGACGTACTGTGTGTCCTGGTCTGAGGGTCCCAGGGCTGAGAACCAGGAAGGAGATGCCTGCCTCCACTGGACACCCTTCCCTGCAGCCCACATCTGAGCTTCCTCAAGTCCTTAGGTCATATCAGCAAGGCAAATGTGATGTCATGGGCTCAGCTGTGGGGCAGTGTGGCTCATAGTGGGGCAGGCAGAGCTGGTTCACATACTGAAGAAGGTTGGGCTGGGCCAGAAGCTGGAGCTGCTTTCCAATCACAGGGAACCAGGACAAAGTGAACCCGATGCCCTCTATTCCTGATCACCAAGCCCACTGCTGTCACTTGGGACAACTTCTGGTTCCTCTGGTCCCAGAAGGTGCCCCATGGACTTATTTTTTTCCCTGAGTTCCACATCTCAGATGCACACATGTTGCATTACCAGGACGTGTTGGTGACATGGCCCTGAGGGGAGGTGGTTTCACACCTGCGTCTCTGGGGCCCCAAGTCTCCTCCCAGCCTGGGAACACCTCAAGGTCTCCCAGGCTGTTGTGTAAGATAGCAAGGGCTCATGTGACTCCTCCCTGGAAAAACAGAGTGTCTGTCCTGGCTTTCTGACATAGACGTATATTAATAATCATTTGAGAGTGGGGATAGTCCTTGGGGGTCGTAGAGTTCAACCTCCTCATTTTACAGATGAGGAAACTGAGGCCCAGAGCAGGGATTGTCCAGAATGAGTTTGGGCCAGGACCCAGTCTCCTGACCACAGCCAGGGGGGCGCTACAGTACAGGCCCCTGCCAGCGCCGCGTGGATCCCTGGCACGTGCCAGGACGTGTCCATTTCACAGGTAGGGAACTAGACCGAAGTCCCACGCTTGGGCATGCCAACGCCCCTAGCCTGATTTTCTCGAATCTTCGCCAAACCCTCTTACAGGCCAACAGTCGGGGCCTTTGTAAGGAGAAACTCGCCCCGGGTCACTCCGGTGGTAGCGGGGCTGGCTCGTGACGCGGCCACTACACGGGGGCGACACGACACGCGAGGCGGGGGTCCGGGCATGCGCGAGGCGGCCCTGCGCTCCCATGGGCTCCCATTGGCTCCCGAGGCCCGGAGGGGCGGGGCCGCACGCGCCGCGCTTCCTCCCGCCGCGGCTTCCGCGTAGCTTCCCTGGCGGCTGGGTCCTTGGCGGTTTCCCGCGTGAGGGCGGTGGCGGGCTCGGCTTCAGGGCCGGAGTCCAGGCAGGAGCCTGGCCTCTCAGGTGGCGGGCTCTGCGTTTCTGCGAGGTGAGAGCGCGGCGACGTCTGGCCCGGGCCTCCGCCCCCGGCTAGGGGTGCGCCTTGCCCTGCCTGGGCATCCCAGTACACCTCCGTTCTTGACCGTCGCAGCCCGCACCCCTCCGACCAGCGCCAGGGCTGCACTCTTGGCCCCTCCAGGCAGCGCTGCTCAACCTTGCAGACCCAGCTCGGGGACACCTTCCCGTCCTCAATGAGAGCTTGAGGAGACCTCCAACCCCCCTTCCCTGGCTCCCGGTAACCGCTTTTTCTCTTTGCTTTTGCAGATGGACGGGACGGAAGGCAGTGCTGGGCAGCCCGGCCCAGCCGAGCGGTCCCGCCGAAGCAGCGTGTCCTCCGTGGGAGCCCGAGGTGGGTCCCGCCCCCTCTCCTCTCTTCCACACCCTCCTGGGACCCCAGCCCTGCCCTGGAGAAGTGGCCCTGGCTTCTTTTTCATTAAAGATGATTTATGTATCAACTAAGAAATAATAAGGTACATTCAGATGTCAGAGGCTCTGTCATTAGTTTACTGGCCAGGTTGGGTCCTCTTGCATCTCACTCATTTGTAAAATGGGCTTAACATAGCTGTGAAATTCAAATGAGATCATGTGAATGAAAAATGAAGGCTGATGTCGTGGTTCACGCCTGTAATCCCGGAACTTTGGGAGGCCAAGGTGGGCAGACCACATGAGCCCAGGAGTTTGAGACCAGCCTAGGCAACATAGTGACACAAAAAAGAAAAGTGACATGTTCACTTTCTTTGTGTCATTTCTTTCCCCCAAACAGCCTTTTGAAAACAAGAATCATGATCTTCATTTGATAGGGAGGAAATTGGGCCCTAGGGAAGCTAAGTCCCAGGCTATGGAAGCTATCCAAGTAACCACACATACTGCAGCTTTCTGTGACTCAGTTCTCCTCACCTGAGAAGTGGATCTGGACCTGAGCCTCCTGGAAATGATTTTTTGATCTCTGAGAGTAGCTGCTGGGGCTTAACAGACTTGGGGTCCAAGAAGCACCTTCCTTTCTGTTGATGAGAAACCGCACCCTTCCCTTCCACATATTCTTGGAGATGTTATTAGCTCTACTTTTACAGATGAGGCAACTGACACTTTCTTCTTTCTTTCTTTTTTATTTTTGAGACAGTCTTGCTCTGTCGCTCAGGCTGAAGTGCAGTGATGTGATCTCGGCTCACTGCAACCTCCACTTCCTGGATTCAAGCAATTCTCCTGCCTCAGCCTCCCGAGTAGCTGGGATTACAGGTGCCTGCCACCACACCCAGCTAATTTTTTGTATTTTTAGTAGAGGCTGGGTTTCACCATGTTGGTCAGGCTGGTCTCCAACTCCTGACCTCGTGATCCACCCGCCTTGGCCTCCCAAAGTGCCGGGATTACAGGCGTGAGCCCCCATCCCCAGCCTGACACTTAAATTGACTTGCTGAAGTTGACCAGCGACCCGGCAAGGATGGGAACCCGAATATGTTGGCCCGTAAGCTCGGTGTCCCTTCACCATGCCTGAGGTCCCAGGGGTGGGGATTTGAATCTGGTTGCTCTTCTAAGTGACTCTGGCTCTGGAGTCCCACAGTTGTCCCAAGGGAACTCTCCACTATTTGAGCTGTTCTTCCCTAGCCTGCTTCAGGCTGACCTGAAAGACCCAATATTGACTCCTGAGGCTTAAAGGGTCCTAAGGAAACTGAGACCTGGAACCTGCTTTAACCTAGGAGACCTAAGGAATCTTCTGTTCCCATCTTAGCCTGAGCCAGAGAGAGACTTGCCTGAGGACAGCATGGGTTGCCAGCTCTCATTCCTGCCAGCCCAAGATAGCCTCAGGATGGGTTCAGCCCCTCTGTGCCTTTGTTTCACACCTGTGGAACATTCTTGCTCAGGGCAGAAGCACAGCTGAATCCTTGGGGCTGCTATGGTGGTGAGGGGAGGGTCGCAATGGCCAGGCTTAATTTGAATCTTGGGGGATTGGGGTGGGCAGGTCTCCTGGCAGGCGTTACTGGGTTTCTGGGTGGCTTGAGGATCTCAAGGAAGCACTAATAGCATTCATGATAGGGTCTTTGGGGGCTCCTAGGGCTCTGCCTCTGACATGGACTCTGCTGCAGAAGTGCAGCCCTGGCCACCCCCCAGGGGTGTAGGGTGGGGGCTCCAGCCCCAGTGGGTGGTGGAGGGTACCTGGTGGGCCTGGCTGTGCCAGGCAGAGGCCTCAGCTGAGCCTGCCCCTCTGTCACAGTGGCTGATGTGCTGGTATACCTGGCGGATGACACGGTGGTGCCCCTGGCTGTGGAGAACCTGCCCTCACTCAGTGCCCATGAGCTGCACCGTGCCGTCCGCGAGGTCCTGCAGCTCCCAGACATCGCCCTGGATGTCTTCGCACTCTGGCTGGTCTCCCCTCTGCTGGGTAAGGCTTGGTAGTGAGGAGGCCAGGCTGGAGGGTGGGAAGGTCACTGACCAGTACCGGAGGGAGGGGACAGTGTTCAGAGCCACTGGCCACTGCTCATGGGGGACAGTGGGACTTGGGTGTGTCCTAAGCTGTCTGCCCATCTGAGCACCTAGAGCCCTGAGAAGGCCTCCGCTCCTGGCCCCGCTCTTTCCCCTGCTGTCTCTCTCTGCTGGTGGTGGAGGAATGGCCAGGTCTGCCCTGCCTGGTCGTGCTGGAGCTGGGTTGTCAGGGAACAGTACTACAGGAGGAAGGGGGCGTTGTCTGCTGAGCATAACCTTTGCCACAACTTGGGCGGCATTTGGGAACCATGATTTCACCTTATCCTCAGGCCCAGGCCAGTCTTGCAGATGAGCAAGTTGAGGTTGGGGTGGTGAGACCACTTCGTGTTAGGAGCAAGACAGACCCAGGCCTGAGTGCTTCCTGGCCAGCCTCTTCGAACTGTTCCTGTTCCTTGGAGACAGGGAGGAGAGGGAACACAGTACAGGAAGCAGGCCCCTCTGACCCTGAGGCTCTTAGTGAGGGTGGGGAGGGTGAGAAGAGTAGGGACGTGACTTGCCTGGCCGGCCTCGGCCTCGTGACCACCCATATCCTGCCCTTTCAGGCTGAGATTGCAAGACGGAGGGACTTGGCGGGGGTGGCTCTCAAGACCGTCAGCCCGGGGTCCCTTGATGAACAGGGTCTCTGAGCCTGCTGGTTCGAACAGGAGGGGCCAAGGGAGAGGCTGCCCCAGGTTGTTATTTAGTAAATCGGTGTGGTGGCTGGTGTGTTTTCTTAACTTACACATTCCCTTCATTGTAGAGGAAGGCAGGCAAGAAGTGGGTAACCAGTCCTATTGAGGAAGTGCACAGGACATCCTGGGTCAGGCCCAAGGGGCCTCCAGCAGTTACTTCTCCTGAGGCTGCTGGTCGGGGGAGAAGGAGCATTCAGCCACCCCGTCCCCTACCCTCATCCTTCCCTCCCCGTCCTCCCCCCTGCCAGTGGGAGCTTCCTGCTCAGCTGCTGCTGGGAGGCTCTTGGCCACCTTCTTCCTGCTGCCTTGGCTCCTCGGCCAACCCACGCCCAGCCCGGCCACCTCTCCTTCACCTCCAGGCTGCAGGTCAGGACTGTGGGCCCCTTGGTTTGTTTGTGGAAGCTGGGGTGCAGTTCTGCCACCTTGGCCCCTGCCCTGCCTCGGGAAGTTCCCAGAGCCTGCGGGGCAGCCTGCTGCCTCTGGCACCTCCTCCGCCCCATCCCTCCTCACCACATTCCTATTCCCCCAGGGCCTGCAGGAGGCTGGAATGAATGTGAATGGGCTGCTTTGTCGCCTGTGCAGGAGGAGGGTGGCAGAAGACCCCAGCACAAAGTCAGCACCCACTCTGTTCCCAAGCTGGGTTCAGGGAGGCTGAAGGCTACTTTGGCTATGACTTGGGCCCCCCAGAACCCTTGGCACCCCCACCCCTGATGGGGTGAAGCCGTGACAGATCCCCCGGGCAGTGAGTGCCCTGCAAGGGCAGGGAGGGGTGACATCTTCTGGAGCTGCCCTTCATGCAGGATGTTTTGGCAGGGCCTGGCCTTCTCCATGCCATTGTCACTATGCATGAAACAGGGCTCCGGGGACCTTCCGTCCCATTTGGGTAACAGCCTTCAGGCAGGAAGGCCCACATCTGGAAGTCTGGGACTGCTGGAGTTCTGAAGACAGAAATCTTTTGAGCTGCTGGGGCTTGGGGTTAAGGCTGGTCAGGGCTGGGCTGTAGGCAGGAGGAAGGGCATCCTTGTCTTCAGGGCATTCTGAGGCCCCATCTAGTCAGTTACTGCACTAATTCCATAAGGACACACAAAGGCTCTCTCAGGCCAAGTGGCATTCTAGATGCTGGGAATACAGGAGGGAAGATACTGGTAGTGTCCCCGCCCCAGAGAACTCACCACTAGAACTTTATTTTATTGATTTATTTTCTTTTTAATTTTTTTGAGACAGAGTCTTGCTCTGTTGCCCAGGTTGGAGTGCACTGGGTGCAGTCTTGGCTCACTGCAACCTCTGCATTGTGGGCTCAAGCGATTCTCCTGCCTCAGCCTCCAGAGTAGCTAGGATTACAAGCAAGCCAACCCACCCACTGCTAATTTTTGTATTTTTAGTAGAGACAGAGTTTTACCATGTTGGCCAGGCTGGTCTCGAACTCCTGACCTTAAGTAATCCACCCACCTCAGCCTCCCAAAGTGCTGGGATTACAGGCATGAGCCACCGTGCCTGGCCACCACTGGAACTTTAGAGCCTAAAGCATCATGAAGGGAGGTTTAGGAAGCAGAACTCTGTTCCTGGTTTAGCCACTAACCCCTTGTGGCCTCAGGCAGTCACTGTGCCTTCCTGAGCTTCAGTTTCTCTGCTGTGAAGTGGGTGATCTCCATGTCTTCCAGCGCTGACATCCTTCGAGTTGACATCCTTCCCAGACAGAGAGAGTGTGAGGACTCCATGAGAGGCTCAGTGGCCAAGTGAGGGGAGTTGATGGAGCCCTTTCTGGAGGGAGTGGGGAGGCTACTGTTTGGGGTAAATGGTGTTTCCCTACTGGAGGTGGTGGCAGAGGGGTGGGGCCAAGGGTCTAGGTTGCAAATTAGGGCTGTGGAGCCTCTGGGAAATCTGGAACAGAAATGAGGGGACAAGAAAGGGCTGCAGAGACTGGATGCAGGGATGAGTGGAAGGGCTGTGGGCACGGGGTCCCATATAGGGGCTGTGGCCGCTCTTTTGGGTTAAGATCAGGATCAAGGTGGAAGTCCCAGATGGCCCAAAGAGCAGAGACGAGGACCCCTGGCCTGAGGCCAGCAGGAGAGGCGATCAGCCATTAGTGGGGACCTCGGAAGGGTGGATCAGGGAGACGTGGATCGGGGGGCTCTTGAGGCTTGTAGCAAGCTTTGGCTTCTGCACCCCAGCAACAGACATCCCATTCATCTCTGGATGAACTTGGAAGTGGCCTCACACCTCTCAAAGGCAGAGACCCAGGTAGCCATTGTTTTTTGTTGTAGTTTTTTGTTTGTTTTTGAGACGCAGTCTCACTCTGTCACCCAGGCTGGAGTGTGCAGTGGCACGATCTCTGCTCACTCCAACCTCCGCCTCCCGGGTTCAAGCAGTTCTCTGCCTCAGCCTCCTGAGCAGCTGGAATTACAGGCCTCCCCCACCACACCTGGCTAATTTTTGTATTTTTAGTAGAGATGGGGTTTCACCATGTTGGCCAGGCTGATCTTGAACTCCTGACCTCAGGATCCACCCGCCTTGGCCCCCCAAAGTGCTGGGATTACAGGTGTGCACCGCAACGCCCGGCCTGGCCTTTGTTTTTTGGTGGGTGCTGGTGTGTGAGCTGAAAGGCTTTGTCCCTTCTGGCCTGAGGCATTGATCCTGGGTCCAGAGCAGTAGTGGTATGGGACAGCCTGGAGTTTGAGGGGTTGGACTGGGTACACTTGGTCATTCTGCCAACCTCTAGTGAGGTCACTACGCCCCAGGGATGCAGCAGTGGACAAGTCCTTAGCCCCTGTGGGTGGCAGCAGCAGAGAGAGTCAGGTGGCGATCAGCCTGTGAAGGCAAGCAGATGTGACGCCATTAGGGCGGCGGAAAATTTTGAGGAGAGGCTGCCTAAGTTAGGGGGTCCAGGGAAGGTGGCCCTTGAACTAAGACCTGAGCCAGCCAGCCACAGGACGGACCTGGAACAAAGGAGTCCAGGAAAAGGGGCAGCAAGTGCAGAGGCCCTGGCAAAAGCAAACTGGGGACGTGCAAGAGATTTAAGAAGGCCAGGGTGGCAGGGGCAGAGCTGGAGAGGCAGTGAGAGAGGAGATGAGGTGGGAGGGCCGGGCAGGAGCTGGACTGCGTGGGGGCCACAGAGGTGCAGAGCTTGCAGGATGGAAGGGCAGCTGGAGCTCCTCGGAGGTGTTGGGGTAGGGTCTCACGGTGGGGAAGCCCAAGCTCTGCCAGGGGGAAGGCAAGGCAGCCCCTTGGGCCTCTGGGCCCCAGTTGCCAATTTCAGGTTTTGCTTCCTGGTGGCACTACAGGTCCCTCTGTGCCCTAGCACCTTCCATTGGCCACAGCCTCCAGCTTCAGCTTGCCCTGGGGCTGTAGTGAACAATTAGTGGCTGGCTCTGCCTGGAGCCAGACCCCCGTGGCTTGCTGTGTGACTATGGACAAGCACCTTGACCTCTCTGAGGCTCATTTGCTCTGTGGGTGAAATGGGGTGTAGGGTTACAGCAGCAATAAATGCCTCTAGACCACTCAAAATGTCTCTGGACCCTTGGCACCTGCTCAGTTACTGTTGGTCGCAACTGTCATGCTGTTGCTGATGGGTGGTGTGATGGGTGGGTCAGCAGCTGCCGGACTGGTTGGAAGCTGCGTGGTAGGAGGCCGCGTGGTGGGAGGCCGCTGCGTGGTGGGAGGCCGCTGCGTGGTGGCAGGCCACTGCGTGGTGGGAGGCTGCTGCGTGGTAGAAGGCCGCTTCGTTGGTGGGAGGCTGCTGTGTGGTGGGATGCTGCAGGGTGGAAGGCTGCTGTGTGGTGGGAGGCCGCTGCGTGGTGGGAGGCCTTGGGGTGGGAGGCTGCTGTGTGGTGGGAGGCCGCTGCGTGGTGGGAGGCTGCTGTGTGGTGGGAGGCTGCTGCGTGGTGGGAGGCCTCGGGGTGGGAGGCCGCTGTGTGGTGGAAGGCCGCGTGGTAGGAGGCCGTGGGGTGGGAGGCCTCGGGGTGGGAGGCCACAGGGTGGGAGGCTGCAGGGTCGGAGGCTGCATGGGCCACTTCCCCTCTCATCCTACAGAGGTGCAGCTGAAGCCCAAGCACCAGCCCTACAAGCTGGGACGCCAGTGGCCGGAGCTGCTGCTGCGCTTCACCAGCGCCCCAGATGACGACGTGGCCATGGGTCAGTGCTGCTGCCTGCCTGTCCTTGCCTCAGGAACCCCTGAGTCTGCAGCTCTGGCTCCCAGCCCAGCCAGGGCCCTGCAGCAAGGAGCTGCCCCGCCGAGGGGCAGGGCCTGCATCTCCCCCAGGCTCCGTCAGCCGCCCCAGCAGGGGAGGAAGGGGTCCCTGAGAGAAGCCCCACTGAGGGATGGGCTGGGAGCCGCCGGGGCACGTAGGGATGAGCTGGGCACCCGACCCTCTGCACAGCCCTCGGGTTTTCTCAGCTGTGGTGGGTGAGGTTGGGGGCTGGGGCCGGGGCCAGTCAAGGGAGAGGAGAGGGCTAAGCAGAATGGGGAGGCCTGGCAGTGACTCAGCCTCTCTCCCCAGATGAGCCTTTCCTGCAGTTCCGAAGGAATGTGTTCTTCCCAAAGCGGCGGGAGCTCCAGGTGAGCCAGGAGCCCAGGTGGCCCCACCAGGCCCGGCCCCTCGCGCCCCACTTCCCTGTCCCTAGACCCCTGGACATTCACACCTTGCCCCAGCCCAGCTGAGCGGCTCTCCCTGCCACACCGGCCTGCAGATCCACGACGAAGAGGTCCTGCGGCTGCTCTACGAGGAGGCCAAGGGCAACGTGCTGGCCGCTCGGTACCCGTGCGACGTGGAGGACTGCGAGGCACTGGGGGCCCTGGTGTGCCGTGTGCAGCTCGGGCCCTACCAGCCTGGCCAGCCAGCCGCCTGCTCCCTGAGGTGAGGGCCTGTGTGACCTGAGGCAGTGGCGCTGGTGGGAGTTTGTCCTCGGAATCCAACTTACAAGCAGTGTTAGGTCTCGCAGGGGGCAGGGTCCTGGAGTCAGGAGGCCTCAGCCCCACATGCTTGCTCTGGCCCTAGGCAGTTGCTCCACCCCTCGGCCTCTGTTTTTTTTTTTTTTTTTTTTTTGAGACCGAGTCTCACTCTGACGCCAGGATGGAGTTCAGTGGCGCGATCTTGGCTGACTGCAACCTCCACCTCCCCCTTGGCCTCCTTTTCCTCACCAGCCCTGGGGAGGAGCCTTGGGTGAAGCCTAGGAGAGGAATCTGCAGCTCTGGGGTCCTGCCTCTGGCCGAGGTCAGGGGAACTGGGCTTTTGGAGTCACAGCTAGGGACCAACCAGACACTAACCGTTTGTCATTAGTAACAGTAGAGTTCCAGATTCCTGGAATGCTCCTCAGGCAGTCGCACACCGGCTGTCCACCTCCCAGCCCTCTCGAGAAACCAAGCTCTCTGCTGTGTAAATTAGCAGGGCCTTGGGTGGTGAGGATTGAGTCTGCCCTGCCGAAGCCCCGGCTGGTCTCTGGCCTCCATAGAGGATTATCCCGAGGTTTAAAAAGAATTCCAGTGAAGGTGGGCTTGAGCCCAGCCTGACCCTAGCCAGGGCTCTCTGCACCGTCACCCTGCAACAGGTGGGTGTCAGGAGAGAGATGTGGAGATGGGACCCTCCACTGACAGCCAGAGCCTGGCAGGTGCCACCCCCACGTTCACAGTCAAGACTAAGGGCTCCCAGCTGAGCTGGCCCAAGGCTAGTGACCGTGGGGTCCTGGCCCTCGTGCTGGGCATGTCTGTTCTTCTTGCAAGTGACAGCTGAATCAGCTTAAACTGTTGGGATGCAAGGGTACCATGTCACCTCATGTAACAGACAAATCCAGGGTGGCTGATGTGCCCTGGGCCAAGCTCAGTGCAGCGGCTCTGACCGGGCTCCCAGACCCCCTTCGCTTCCCTCACCCAGCCTTGCGTCCTCTGGTCCTCTGGGCCAGCTCATGTGTGGGCGCTTGCCTTGTGGCCAGGTGGCTGCCACAGTTGTGTTGCAGGAAGGCACAGACTCTCATCCCTTACCCAGCCTCAGCCCTCAACTCACCCTGATGGCCGGAGCATGATCCCAGTCCACCCACAGGGAACATGGTCAGCGGCCAGGCCACTGAGCAGCTGCCACCCAACCTTCCCCTGGGTCCCTCATGAGCTGGACGAGAGCAGGGAAGGCCGGATTTCCACATGACAAGTGGGAGATGTTGCCAGAAAAAGGGATGTCGGGGGATAGATGGCAAGATGCCCACGGGAGCCCCGAGAAGGGTGGACAGCCCCAGAGACCCCTCCTCATGGCCCCCTTGGGCCTGCAAGTGTCTTGCTTGGGCCCTTCTGCCATGGTAGCCTGTGGTATCTGATGCTCCAGAAACCACAGCAGGGACCCCGCCCCCTTCAGTGAAAAAGACACTACAGTGAGGCCTGTTCAATACTTACCTCATGCTGGGTGCAGGCTGGTGTCCTTGTGGTCGAGGACAGATGTGTGTCCTCGTCTCACACACAGGGAAATGAAGCCTCAGAGGCCTCAAAGACTGAGCACTTAGGCCAGGTGCAGTGGCTCAGACCTGTAATCCTAGCACTTTGGGGGCTGAGGGGGCGGATCACTTGAGGTCAGGAGTTCGAGACCAGCCTGGCCAACACGGTGAAACCCTGTCTGTACTAAAAATACAAAAAGTAGCCAGGTGTGGTGGCACGCACCTGTAATCCCAGCTGTTTGGGAGGCTGAAGCAGGAGAACCCGGGAGGTGGAGGTTGCAGTGAGCCAAGCAGGTACAGGATAGGAGGCACCTCTCACCGGCTCACTGGCAGTACAGTTCCTCACAGCAGAGGCAAACAGGCTGGCCCCGGAGTCTGCCCTTCAGAGAGGAGGCACTGCACTCCAGCCTGGGTGAGAGAGTGGGACTGTCTTAAAAAAGGACTGAGCTGTCTGCCCTGCAGCTTATCTGAATGGCTCGTCCACAGCCCACGAAGACCCGCCGCCTGAGGCGTGGAACTAGCTGCAGTTATGCCAGCGTCTCTCCTGCTTTGTGGCAGGGGGGAGATGCCCTTTCTTTTGTGAGCCTGTGCTAGTTGTAGGTTGGTGTTTTCACGTTTTTTCTGGCAGAACAAAGCATTGAGAGCTTAAGACCCCTGCACCAGTTTGGTTATAAAAGCTGCACTGGTTCAGAAATCCTACCTCTCCTGAGTTGGTGACAGAGATGTTGCTCTGAAACTGCTGCTGCAGTCTGATTCCAGGCGAATGGGGGCTCTTAGCTCAGCCTCCAGACCCTCCTTCAGCCTCTCGCCTCTGCTGTGAGCTGCAGACCTGGGCCCGTCTCTGGGCCTCCTTCACTTGCCTGGCTGCCCCGCGTGTCTGTATGCCCTCACAGGTTGGGGTGGGGGGACCTCTGGAGTGCCTGGTGCACTGCAGGTGCTCAGAGTGGTGGGTCCTTCCCTTCTGGGGGTGAACAGGGGCCTGGTGACTCCTGTATCTGTTCCTTTGGCTCCTGTGAGTTTCCTGGTTGAGCACATGGTAGCCAACCAGGCAGGAGGCAGGAAGGGTTGGGAGACAGGACCAGGCCCTGCAGGGGCCCTTGGTGCAGGTGGGCTGCAGTGCAGAGGCTGCCAGCTGAGGCAGGGCTGGTGGGAAGTATGGGAAAGTGGGGCCCGGGTTCCTTTTCCTGGCTGGACGTGCAGGCATCTGGAGCCGCAGGGTGAGCCTCTGGCTTCACACGGTGGCCTGGATCAGATGGGCAGAGGGATAGCCCGAGGTGGGCCTTATAGGGAGCCCCATCACCATCCTGGGACTGCACTTGGAGAGCTTGTCATGTTTTAGGACTGGGAAAGCTCAGCTGGGACACGTGGGGGCGTCATCATACCCCACTCCGGAGGAAGCGGGCTCAAGACAGGAGGCGCCTCTCACCGGCTGTCCAGCTGTTTGTGGCAGAGGTAGACAGGCTGGCCCTGGAGTCTGCCCTTCAGAGAGGTGCCAGGAACTGAACCCCCTCTGGTGCCTGGGTCTCCCCTGCTGGGCTCCTGACCCGGCCTCTGACTCGGAAGTAGCTGTGTGAGCCTGGCCCCTCTGGCTAGGCCACTAGCACCTGTCTCTTTCTTCCTCTGCAGGGAGAAGCTGGACTCCTTCCTCCCTGCCCACCTCTGTAAGCGGGGCCAGGGTCTCTTTGCTGCCCTCCGGGGCCGCGGGGCCAGGGCCGGGCCAGGCGAGCAGGGCCTGCTGAACGCCTACCGCCAGGTGCAGGAAGCCAGTGGCGACGATGGGTGTGAGGCCACCCTGGGCACCCACTACCGCGCCTACCTCCTCAAGTGCCACGAGCTGCCCTTCTACGGGTGAGAGCCACAGCCCTGTGGCACCCCCACCCCCGCAGACTGTCCCTGGGCTTTGCTAGCACAGCTGCCAGTGAGGCCGCCCCTACCCCCACTGAGCTGTGTCCCCATGAAGTGATGTCTTGTCACGAGCACCTCAGGCCCCTCCAACCCAAGCTGGGCACCTGCCCTCTTCCTGTCGGGGGCTGGGACACTTTGGATGGGTTCTCTCCTACCTGGCACAGCAGTCACCTGCTCACTGGCCCAGCCAACCTCGCCTTTAGCTAGCTGTCTCTGTCACGTAGTTGGCGTCTAACGAACAGCTCTGTGCACCTACTGTGTGTACCCTCTCTGGGCGCTGGAGGTCCCTCTGGGCCAAAGACACCATGCCCCTGCCTGGTGAAGCTGACGTTCTAGTGGAGAGAGACGAGAATACGGAGGTTGAGGAGAGCCTGCCGGTGGGCACGGGCAGCAGCTGGGAGACCAGAGGGTGGGGTGTGGGGTGAGCCCTGTGGTCAGAACAGGTGAGAGGGTCAGATGTAGGACGTTCTGAGGGCAGAGTGACAGGATTTGCCGGATGAATGTGCAGTGGACGAAGTGAAGGAGAGGAGGCAGAGAGGAGGCAGAGAGGACTTGCCTGACCACCTGGCAGATGGATGGCGTTACCATCGACTGAGATGGTGCTGTGGATCGGTGAGGGCAAGTTCAGGAATTTGGTTTTTTGTTTTTGTTTTGAGACAGGGTCTCGCTCTGTCACTCAGGCTGGAATGCAGTGGCACAGCCGTAACTCACTGCAGGCTCGACCTCCTGGGCTCAAGTAAGCCTCTCAAGTAAGCCTCCTGAGTAGCTGGGACCACAGGCACGCATCACCATGCCTGGCTTTTTTTTTTTTTTTTTTT